TAAATGGAAAAACATTTTAATTGATAAATTACTTTTAAGTCTCAGATAATTAAAAATTTACTTGGTGTAATAACATCAAGCTTTGTATTTTCATTAATCAGTAGTTCGATTAAACACTTGTTGCAATTTTGCAATTTTAGTGTTACCTTTGAACTAATAAAACCATCATGGGTGGAAAATATTAACATTAGAATACATAGTTCAATAAGGCGCTTGATAAGCTTCAAACTAACCTGACATTTTGCCCGATTGACTTCAAGTGCCCGATGGCACAGGAGTGAGATGATATTGGATATCGGAGCTAGGATAAAAATGAATTGCGCCATTATTGAATTTTAATTTAATGCAGCTGCAAGATTTAATGGCAAAGAGGATTTTGCCGCGAGCGATGCGAAATAAAAAGGACAGAAAACCAATACGTTTGTAACGGACGATCAAGGGACATTATAATAGCTTTTTTCGATTAGTTGCTTTTTTGCTCGCGGCTCGGATTACCCAGCGGAACTCATTTTCCATTGAAAAGGGTTTAAAAGTAATTGAGATATCCTGATTGTGAACTTGTTGAGTTCAAAGCTGGGTAATTTTTATTGGTGATGACGCCAGGCTTATTATGGCTGCGTTCTGGAGAGGAGACAGAACGCACCGTTTCAAAAAGGCATTTGAGTAATTTTTTTAAATTTTTCTTAATAAAACCTTTGAAATCCAGAAGTTATTTTAACACCAATTAGTATTGAAAGATCTCCCTTTATGTGCTCTTTTTCATTGCAAAAAAAAATATGCTATAAATAATGAGATTTGCAAAGAAAATATTAATTCTAAAATTTACATTTTAATAATTTAATTACTTTTGAGCACTGCAGATATATTCTTTTCACATTCAACTTCACATAAAGGAAACTTTCTCACATGCTTATTGATGACAAAATTATTCCTCTTGTTTTTTTTTACTTTGTTGTGACATGTTTCCTTTGAACTCACTCAGTGTAGTAGCTTAAGGGATTACACCAATTTCTCTTACTAAAGCGAACCAATTGTGAAGCTTCTTCCTCGAGAGGTTCTTGAAGATTCATGAAGATCCAATTTGAATAAATTACAATTCACCCAAAAGCTTAGCTCGGTTCATGTATGACAATTGAATAATTACAATCGTTGAAGTGATTGGCATGATGTCGCATTCAACTCATTGAGAATGGTTTTGGAAGCTGTTTTGACATGATAACAGGCACACCAAAGCTAGTGTCACATCAATGAGTATCATATCAAGAGTCGCATTATAGAAATTAACGGTTTCGCATTTCCGATTGAAGCTGCTCTCGGTTGTCAGAAACAGTCCTTTTGTCATTGCCAATTAATTAAAACGTCTTTCATCTTGCGAAGTAGGGTGTAAATGGAGCCTGAGAAGCGTTAAGATGGTGTTTTTCATTGTTGGATCAAACTTTGAATAACAATTATTTCGCAATCTACACTCCATAGATCGCATAACTAATTACCATAAAATCTACTAATTTTTAATGGCCTGTCTGTGTTAAAAAAAATTAAATTTGCATCGCAGACATTTAAGCTAAAAATTTGCAGGAAGAATTACGTTGATCAAATTTTGGACCACCTCATGCACTCTAATTGAAACAAAGACAGACGCACGTGCTCAGCAGTTTAAACAAAGGTGCTCACTTGCTACCACTGGCCACCATGAGGGACACTTTTTTTATACATTTCCGCACCTGCTGGTCGTATTTTTCCACTTCAGCTTCTCTCTGTTATCTGTGACTGGCACGTGCACAAACAAGAGGACCAGTGGTTGCCAAAATTGCTTTTTCTATTTTTTATGTAAGCACGCACACCTTCCATCACAGCAATTCACCAACGCTGTGAGAATTGAAATGACTACATCGCTCTTCGCTCACAGTAGGTTTTTCTTTTGAATAAACATTTATTCAACAGACTGTTCACTTTCTGTGTTGTTTTTTAGCCAAAAATTGTTTTGATTAGTCAAATTTCACGGTTACACCTTCCAACTGTGTGAAATTTCAGCACCTGTGCTTGCTTTTTTACTCTGCCATGAAAAAAACGTTGATTCTAACTCCACAATAAGCTAACACAAAAAGATATTGGGGGAGATTCAAGAGACTTAGCTCTCCCGGGATATCTTTTATCCCGGGATAAATCCAAAGGGATAAAATTTAGACCACTGTCCCGGGTTAAATATTTTTTGTCCCACCTTCAATTTTTTCTCCCCAAGTTATTGGGGGATATCTTTTCTACGGGATAAATATTTAACCCGCGCAGGATCATGGAAATGAGGGCAAAATTGAAATCCAAAGCTAACACAAAAATCTGTATCTAACTTAATTTAAAATTTCATATTTATTTTGCTCAGAAATTTCTAAAGACCTCTTCATCAAAGCGAAATTATGCAAGGATTTTTTTCTATTGAAATTTTTTGCACGTGAAATTTCAAATTTCTCAACTCTGAAAAATTAAAATTCTCAAGCTTATTTTTTTATTTGTAGATAAATTAAATTCGCCTATTTTTTTTTTTTTAATTACACATAACAAATAAAAAAAAAAGGAAAAAAATTAGTGAACGTGAAAAAGTAAAAGAAAAAAGAATTTGCTTTTCTTTCATCTTAAGGTTTCCCAAATATTTAAATACCTTTTCGTCAAAGTTAATTTGGGCAAATACATCTTTTTCGTATGGCTATCAAATCAAGTATTGAGCCAGTGGCTGGCTACCGGCTGCCGGCTGTCAAAAGTGCAACTGCAATGAACACTCAGCTCAGCCAAAGTCAAGAAAATGTTTGACTTGGTTTTGTTTATTTATTTTTTATTACTAGCTTGGAGTCGCTTGCAGTCGTTTTGTAGTGAGTTTGTAGTCAACTTGGAGTCGCTTGCAGTCGTTTTGTAGTGAGTTTGTAGTCAACTTGGAGTCGCTTGCAGTCGTTTTGTAGTGAGTTTGTAGTCAACTTGGAGTCGCTTGCAGTCGTTTTGTAGTGAGTTTGTAGTCAACTTGGAGTCGCTTGCAGTCGTTTTGTAGTGAGTTTGTAGTCAACTTGGAGTCGCTTGCAGTCGTTTTGTAGTGAGTTTGTAGTCAACTTGGAGTCGCTTGCAGTCGTTTTGTAGTGAGTTTGTAGTCAACTTGGAGTCGCTTGCAGTCGTTTTGTAGTGAGTTTGTAGTCAACTTGGAGTCGCTTGCAGTCGTTTTGTAGTGAGTTTGTAGTCAACTTGGAGTCGCTTGCAGTCGTTTTGTAGTGAGTTTGTAGTCAACTTGGAGTCGCTTGCAGTCGTTTTGTAGTGAGTTTGTAGTCAACTTGGAGTCGCTTGCAGTCGTTTTGTAGTGAGTTTGTAGTCAACTTGGAGTCGCTTGCAGTCGTTTTGTAGTGAGTTTGTAGTCAACTTGGAGTCGCTTGCAGTCGTTTTGTAGTGAGTTTGTAGTCAACTTGGAGTCGCTTGCAGTCGTTTTGTAGTGAGTTTGTAGTCAACTTGGAGTCGCTTGCAGTCGTTTTGTAGTGAGTTTGTAGTCAACTTGGAGTCGCTTGCAGTCGTTTTGTAGTGAGTTTGTAGTCAACTTGGAGTCGCTTGCAGTCGTTTTGTAGTGAGTTTGTAGTCAACTTGGAGTCGCTTGCAGTCGTTTTGTAGTGAGTTTGTAGTCAACTTGGAGTCGCTTGCAGTCGTTTTGTAGTGAGTTTGTAGTCAACTTGGAGTCGCTTGCAGTCGTTTTGTAGTGAGTTTGTAGTCAACTTGGAGTCGCTTGCAGTCGTTTTGTAGTGAGTTTGTAGTCAACTTGGAGTCGCTTGCAGTCGTTTTGTAGTGAGTTTGTTGTCAACTTGGAGTATTTTTGTAGTCGTTTTGTAGTGAATTTTTAGATGAAAGAAAAGCAAATTCTTTTTTTTTTACTTTTTCACGTTCACTAATTTTTTTTCCTTTTTTATTTGTTAAGTGTAATTAAAAAAAAAAAATTTGGCGAATTTAATTTATCTACAAATAAAAAATAAGCTTGAGAATTTTAATTTTTCAGAGTTGAGAAATTTGAAATTTCACGTGCAAAAAATTTCAAATGAAAAAAATCCTTGCATAATTTCGCTTTGATGAAGAGGTCTTTAGAAATTTCTGAGCGAAATAAATATGCAATTTTAAATTAAGTTAGATGCAGATTTTTGTGTTAGCTTTGGATTTCAATTTTGCCCTCATTTCCATGATCCTCACAAAATTCTGATTTGAAAAATTAAGTTTTTTGTTCATTGCAATTGGCCAAAATCTAAAAAGTTTGCGAGCATGTTGACGACCTTTTATTTACCAGCTGATTTGATTTTAGCGCGGGTTAAATATTTATCCCGTAGAGGGGGCTAAGAAAAGATATCCCCCAATGACTTGGGGACAAAAAATTGAAGGCGGGACAAAAAATATTTAACCCGGGACAGAAGTATAAATTTTATCCCTTTTGATTTATCCCGGGATATCTTTTTTCCCGGGAGAGCTAAGTCTATTGAATCTCCCCCATTAGGATAATGTGACTCTCTATTTCTTTGGAGAATAAATCACAAATTTAACGCTGAGCAGGTCACAATTAAATTAAATTTTCAGCCGCAACCGAATTCAAAATTTTGCATGTTTACATAAAATGGCCAATGAAATCATAATATTTACATATTAATTGAAAATAAAGCTGTAACCGACCGTTAATTGGAAAGCTAATAAATAAACATGTATACTCTGTCATTTAATTGGAAATACTTCCTGAGGTTATTCAAAATTATTCATGCTTTTAAATGAAGTATTTAATAATATTTGCACTTTTTGCATGTTCCCCGTATCTCGCGAATCAGTGAAATTTCCATTGTTGATATTTACGTATTTTATTTGCAGAGATAGTAACAGGATGGGTTGTTTTTCATTTATTATATCTCGTAAAAAAAGTGAGTCCGGCAGTTTTATTAGCGGAATAGTTAATTGTACTCTTTTAATCGCCAAGTTTAACAATGGAAATTCCCTTTCTGTTGCAGCCAAACCCACCCACGCCAGACACTTTCACCGAGCTCTAATTGCCACTGCTGGTAAGTGAATCGCACATTATTCCCGCATTTGCATTCTGGACTCGAATATGAATAAGTTAATTCGCGGAATATCAACGCACGCCTGCGAGGTTTTACGTTCGAATGGCATTACCATGATTTCGCAATGAAATTTGCATTCGCCTGTTAAATGTTCCGCGGAACTTCAAGCACCAGCGCGATCATTAATATTAATTATGGAGCCGAAACGCTCGTGTGGCTGCGAATGTATGTTTGGTTTTTTGCGTGTGCTGGCATGCGAGTTTGTTCAGTGCCGCATAACGTAGCGAGCAATTGCGAGAATGGCGTTTATTGCACGTCTCGACGTCGTGTCTGTTTCATACTAAATAAAAAAGGCCAGAAGAAAGTTCTTTAAGTCGGGATTGTTTTGCAAGGATTAAAGACATAAAAAAATAATTCTAAATTTAATGGTATCATTTAATTTCACTTTTACTAATCAAGAATAAACTTGTCGATCATTATTATATATTTTAAATTGATTAGAAAGAAATTTCTTTGATTTTGAGTCAGTAAATTTCTTAAATCCTTAGCTTTTTTTTGCATGATCCCGTTTAACGAAGAGCTTTTGATAATCGAAACAAGAATTTAGTTCAAAGTTTCCCGTAGGATCAATTTAAATTTTAAATTATATAAGATTGATTTCAATTTTTCAAAATGATTAAACAAGGAATTTACATGGATTTTATTTCGTGTAATATTTAAATCATGCCATGAATTTTGAGAAAATTCCCATGAAAAAAAATGATAATTTACAAAAACTCGTTTCTCCCAATGAAAAAATAAAATTTTTAATGTCTTTTTGAAAATTACATCTACAAACCAATAAACCAATTTAAATGTATGAGAAAATTATCATCAAAATTAACTGGGCCGTTGTTTAGCAAAAGATCCTGTTTAATATTTTACATACAGAGCTTAATATCCTGTTGCGTGCGAATTTAATATGAAAGGTGCAGGTGCAGGTCAATGCGGATCATAAAATAAGTCATAAAACACCCACCCAGCAGCAGCATAGCCAGACAATATATCAATTTGGATGTAAATTTCGCCGTCATAAAATAACCTTTGCGAATTTTGCGGAAAGCAATCAGGCAGGCAGAAAGCGAGAGATGTGCAGAACATCGAGCGCATCGATCTGCGAAAGTGAGAACTTAATGATCTAGAGCCGGCGGCCGCAATTTAAGCGTCGGACTTGCGATTAATCATTCCTTTGTTGACCGGCATATTTGCAGACAAACAATGAACACGCGGCCGCACTCACCACCCGCTGCTGATCAATAGGCCTCCCTCTCAGCAGCAGATGAGTCGCGCCCTAATTTGAATATATACGTGCTGCGTCTATACATACCTTCTACCCCTTTCTCGCCACTGCCACCAGCCACGTGTGTCTGTGCAAAAATGCGGTGGTCACGCAGCGCAAGTGACCACACCCTTCATTGCGGCGGCCGACTTTCATTTCCGGCCTGCTAGGGTCAGTGCCTCCGGCATGAGAAATGTTTGAATCAAAAATCAAAATATTGTGTAAAGAGGGATGAACAGGTGCAATTTATTTCTTGATGATAAGCTTCAGAGATATTTTTGTTCAAGCACCAATAATAATAATAGGTCTCTTCATTGACTGGAAATTAACTATCAAGACGCTTAAATTTTTGGATAAATTGAACAAATAAATACAATGTTTTTAAGCTGTATTAATATAATTATATACTGTAATTTTTTTGTTCAACAATCCACATTTTATTAGTCAAAATTTATTCTACCCTATTTTTATGCATCATCGAAACAAAAGCGCATTGCAGTGTAGTGATAAGATTTATGGCCAGCTCGGAAACAAAATTATTATGCACCTTCGGCAAGCTGTAAAATAATAGTTTTCAAACTTATCGTCCCACACGCGCGTGCAATATCAATTTAGTATTGGCTGTTTTCATGCAGGATTTACGACTCGAACTGCCAGAGGGTGATAAGTGGTGAACTTTGTCTCATAAATATTCTCGATTTATGGCAATATTTTAATTCAGACAGGCGCACAATGAGACGCAACTTTACACTGATGTGTTTCTTCAAAGCCCCGAGTAATTTCATTCTTATTCAATCAAACAATTTTTCCTCCCAACTTCCAGAAACCACGCGTGCCTTAATATGGAGCATTAATATAACGACGCAGCTCTTTGACGTGGAGATTACAAAGACGATGTTAATATTCACCAACGTTTATCCAGGCGGAGAGCTGCTCTTGACAAAAAAAATCACTTCGCTATCTCCATGCGCGCTCTCGTTATAGCTTTTTAATAAAACTCCCTCGCGACCCACCACGCGATATTGCGCACTCTCTCTACTTTTGCAATAAAAGTACTTTTGCTATCGCGAAGCTTCACTCGCTAGCTCGCTTTTGAAGCTTCGCAACACAATCTCTGATACACTTTTCCCATTCTGGAGTTGCACAATATTGCGATGGCGTCGCATTCATGCAATAGTAATTGCATTAAAGGCTCAAAGGCGGAATCATCAACTTTATCTGTGGGCGAGATAGGGTAATGTAAGACCCAAGAGACTTGTTTCCATATTTTTATTAATAAAAAAATTGTATAATATGCTAGTTAGCAAAGTTTGGTTTAATTTAGTCCCATATGTCCAGTTTGAAAACTCGGGGCAGAAATGAACGGAAACAAATAATTTTTAAGGCATATACAAATAAATAGAATGCATCCATCATAGAGTCTGCCTTGGGAAAATAATATTTAACTTAAAAAATAACTAATTATATTTTTATTTTGTATCTTTTTTATAATTTAGTACTAAATGAAGTTTCATTTACATACTGATCAGCATGAACTAAAATGTAGTGTAACCTCAGTTGGCACATTTTAATTGTTGATCAAAAAATTTAATTAATCTTTAAAATTTAAAACATTTATATGCAATTTTCTTTTTAATCACCTCTTTTTAATTCAAGGAATTAAAATTTAACTTTAAAACCCATTTTCCTTTTAACCTTTTGAAAACTAATTTGCTTTAGCAATCTCGCATAATTATATAAATTGCCTCTCATTTTTTCTCACGTGCAGTGTTTGTTTTATCCTCTCAAGCCGCAGAAAAATCTGCAATGCAAACAACATTCTCCAAGCTCAAACAAGAGTTAATTGCCTTGTTAACAGACTCTCATAACGTCCAATGTTTGTGCTTTGAGCAGATAATTTTTCACTTCTGCTGGGATGAAGTGAGGCAGAGAATGTTTGCCTGAATACACAAAGGTGATTTGGTTCGTTGTTGCCATGGGAAAGTTTCTGTCCAGCTTGTTTCCCAAAGTTGAAATTCGATTTGTCACAATCAACTGCGACGGGACGTTGCACGGTGAGATTCGTACAGAATACCAAGAAAAAGTATACAAAGTGAAACAAGGTATAATACTTTGAGATTCGTCAATCGAAAAGTCTCTTTGGGTGGAAAAAACGTAGTAATTACTGGAGCGTTGGCTTCAAATTTGAATAATTGCCCCTCTTTGGCTAAATCTCCACCGTGAGCGAAAGACGATTTGAATAATTTTCAAAGCGTATTCGTTTTTATGGAAAGCGTTGCTCATCAGCATAATGCGATTTGCATTTTACTTCTGGACATCAAAGAAAATTTGAAATCCTGCCTGCTCTTCTTTCCTTTCCTCACTTTCCGTGAGCTCATGCATTATTACTGTGCGCTCTTCAGCGGCGTACATAAATCAAGAATGTGCTTTCGTGTCACTCCAAACGGCACCGTTTCTCCAACGTCTCGTGAATAATGCGTTTGTGCAGCGGTAATAGACATCCTGTCTGGCCGCATATTATTGATGGAAAAATGGCATGGATACAAAAAAAAAATCATGACCTTATTAAAACTAATACATCCAATTTGTTATTTATATTTTCATCTAGATATTTCCCTTTCTTTACAGGAACAAGTTTTGCCCATTTCAGAATGCAATAAAAATTTATTTCCCAGAGACCTTTGACCAAGTTATTCTGCAACTGCATACACAGTTGTGAATTTAATCAAAATCGTATCACGTGAGACTCAATTTACCTCGGCTTTCCCACAACCGCATGCTCGTCGTGTGGGTGAAAGCAATCTAGTTGCAGATCTTGAGCTCATGTCAGCGTCGCCGCGTTCATTGATTGCCATAAAGGAAGGTTCAGTGTCACATTCACTTGTTGGTCGCTTTTGTTTTTTGTGCCGCTTTAATAAATATTTATTCCTGCCCTATTGGACCCCCCCCCCCCAATTTAAAATAGGAGAATTATTAATTAGAGGTGATTAATTTAGTATACAGATACTTTGCTTCAATTTTTGTTCCAGAGCAAATTTTGAAATTTTTTGAAGCATTAACTTATTAATTTTTCCAATCATTGACATCAAAATCACATTCGAAAATTTAAAAAAAGAAAAATAACAAAAGATTTGTGGATGGACCTGTCTTAAAAAACCGCAGCATCAGATTTTTTTTAAAGCATTTGTCTTGATTAGTCTTCTTTGCTTATTATTAGAAGAAATGATTCTTTTGGAAAAAATTTCATTTCTCTTCTTTAATTTTTTTACGCTGCATAGAGCATGTTAGAAACAGTTCTGATTAGCTGTGTAAAATTGGAATGAAAGAAATTTCAATTCATAAAGACCATGACGAAAATAGACTATTAAAGCAACGTAATCGCAATACGAACAGTCTAATGCGGATAACTTCTGCTCTACATCCATGAATGAACTACCCACGCAATTCACAAGCAACCTGTTTTACTTCCATGAGTTGCCTGGTTGCACAATGCCCATCAATGGGAGTAATTTCAAACTGCTGCAGGCATCTGACGAGAATTCTGTATCGAAAGTAAAGCTGCATAATCTTCATCTCCTTCAATCATTCCTTTGAATGATTAAATTCCCAGAAATCAGTGCCATACTTTCTTTCGAGTGGCATGAAACTCCCTAAGTGGAAACTGGCAAATAAAATGGAGGCA